ATCTGGACTTGATACTTTTAAAAGATGGTTTGGAAAAACGGACAAACTGCGTAATGTCCTCAGAAATCCAAGAACTGGATAAGTGGTATATGGTGAGGCATTTAAAAACCTCACTGCCCTGCCAGGAAAGTGGTGCATGTCATTACGCATGGCTGTGCGAAGCTACCAAGTGACTGAAGGGCTGGAAATAAGTTGTCTCGAGTCTCCCAGTGTAGCTCATACAGTTTTTATACAGTTTTAAACTGGTAAATACAAGCATAATGTTAGCTTTTGAATATGCATTGATGCTGCTGGATGGCGAAGCCAAAGGTACAGTAATAAAGTGCCCTCGTTTGGCATTTTTATGTTTTCTGGATTATTTAGTTCTTATTCGAGTTTTCTAGATCTGTATATTAAATGGCTACTCGTTCTGCTTTCCCCTACCTCTTAAAAATATTAGCAAGGAAGTGTTTAGTTTCAGCTTTAAAAGACTGGGGGAAGGGGTTAAGATGGCATTCATCATGAACCGTGTCATTTTTAGTAGTTACTTTATTAATTGTGTACTACAAAAGCAACAAATGCTCCTTGCTAATTGAACTGCTGACTTTGACAGCCTAAATTTAGCTCTTATTACCTAGTTTAACTTCAGACCTTCCTGATCTGCCTTTTTTTTTTTCTCTCCTTTTAGGCTTTGGTATATTTTTATAGTCCCACAGAAGGAGCAAGGGCTTAATTAAATTCTAAGAGCAAGGTGAACAGATACTAAGGACTTGAAATCTCAAAGCAGTGTGAAAGTGTACAGAGTCTTGACAACTATGATACCAAGTAATTAGGCAGTAGATTGAAAAATGCTGTGCATCAGTTAGGCAAATTTTACTACAAAAAGCTCTTTCAGCAGGTATTTTATGTTGTAACAGCATCCAGTGGATGAAGCAGAATATTCCATGAACGGTGAAACAAATCTGGCACTACACACCCCCAAATATTCCAGTTGCTAAAGGCATAATTTTATTTATGAGTCATCATGATGAATTTCATATGAGAGCACAGTTAAATTGTGCATCCAGTTTATATTAGCAGTTCATAATTTTGAGAGTGTTTCTGTGCAACATGAACATTACCTCAATGTCTAACTTCTGTAGATTCCCTATAAAAAGAAAGAGTGATTAAATATTGGAAAGCATTACTTTTGATCTTTGGCAAATGGCTGGGTACTAAATGAACTATTTATATGGAGAAATACACCTTTTCATTAATAAGAAATATGCTCTCGTAGGCTGTCTAAATTTTCAGTGACAGAACAAGAACACTGACTGTGTACAGAATGGTGCAGCCAGCAGTCATCAGGAAGTTATATCACACAGTGCAGTCATGTCTGTTCCTTGCTCTCAGAGACAATACGGTGTAAGTAACAGTAGTTTAAAGGTACGATGTGAAATGCTTTGAAACTTGTTTAAATAGTCATTAATCAAAACAAAAAACAAACCACAGCATATTTTATATGCCATTATTTTCTTGCTTAACAAGCAGCAATTTTGGCATTTCTTTTCTCCAGAAAGGAGAGCTTCACTGAAATCAAATACTGAAAACCACCACTGAACTATCAGATATGGTAATCCCATTATCCATAGGGACCTAACATTATTTTGAATCCATATTTGCCCACTAGAGGGCCAGTTGCATCTTCTCCTTTAATATTGATATTGTCTGAGGCAAAACATGAAGTGAAATTACACAGAATGTAATTAAGGAGAGCATTTGTTCCTTTGGAAACCCCTAATATGACGTAATACGAACATGTCTGAAGTGCAGCTTTCTGATGTATTCCAGGGCTGCTGCTTTTATTATTATTATTATTATTGTTATTATTATTATTCCTCTCCAATATACAGCTCATAAATTTCTCCATGCTACATAATATTCTTGCTCTCTCAGGTTTGGTGATAATTAGATTATTGGAAAATGAGTTGTTGAAAAACTTTCCTTTTTAATCTTGTGTCTGAAAAACAATACAATACAATGTCTACAGCTGCTAAATTCAGACAAGATTTTTGGTGGTGGTGTATTTTTTCTCTCTTATGGTCAGGTCTATATTCCACTCTAATACAGGTGCCAGGGATGTTACAAAATATCTTCTTTGTAAATTTATTTGGAAAAATTGAAAGCACACTCAGTCTTTCTTTATTAAAATTTATTCTAGAGGATTTCTGAAGATAGACACCTGATAGAACTGTAAGTAGAGGGAAAGGTGCACAGAAACATTGGACTGTTGAGTAGATGGCTTTTAGGCCTAGTAAAGTTCATGATTTTCAAAACAATGTCGACTTTAAAATACACAGTCTTATGTAGCACACAGAAGAGATTATTCTCCAGCACCTCATTTGAATTAGAACAGAAGATATGTGAATGTCTTCCTCTGAGAAAGGTGCCTAATCATTAAGACATTTCCATAGCCTGAGCTTGTTGTTCCAAAGATGCTGTCTTTCATGGTTAGAAAGATCTTATTTCCTCTTGGCTTTTTCTAACTTCTAGTGCTAGCTACTGTATCAGTATCCCTTTCTTTGTTGCATAAAATGTTCCACTAGTAACTTTTTTTTTTCTCCCTACATAGATTTTTATGGGTATTGACTATAAAATCTTTAAACCTTTCCTCCGAACCTACATAGATCAAGCTCAGTGAATCTCTACTATGAGGCAGATTTTTCCACGCATGACATCATTCTTTGTCTGAGTTTTTCAATAATTGTTGATTACACAGATTGCAGAATTGGGCATACTATTACAAAAAACAGCAGCCATACCATTCCTCATTCCAAAGATTATACCTGCGCTTCCCCTTTGTGCTTCTCTTAGCCATATGAGCACAACATCTCATTGGGAGCTTATTTTCCCTTTGAACAAGTTCTCATCAGGGAGTGAGATTCTGGACTTATTTTGAGAGTATTAGAAATAAATATTCTGTGAAACATAGCTTGATAAATTCATGCTTGAAATTATGACACAATTGCTTAAAAAAGTGAGGAATTGGACTTGGTAACTTGGGTGTTTTTCAATTTAGTGTTCAACTGGAAGTTTTTTCTAGCTTCGTTACTTTCAAGGATACAATCCTCATCCTGTAAGTATGACTTGATAACTCCAACGCACATGCGCTGCCAAATTTAGGTTCAGAAGTTTCAGAAAGTTTGGTGCATAGTGAACAAATGCTTGGAGATACTTTGGTTTATAAGCCAAAGCTACTTTTTTTTTTTTTTTTTTTTAATATGGCTCTGATGTTCATTTTAACTCCTAAAACCTTTAACAGACCTAGGGATAAACAGGCTAAATTATTTCTGTTTGATTCCAGGAAGCATTGGTTTGTGTTTTTGTGAGGGAGGATGTAGAAGAATATGTTCTAGAAAGAGACGCTTCTAGCCAATGTGTATAATGTATGAATGCATTTTAATTTGCGCATCATGTTAGGTTTTGCAGTGGAAGTGAAATAAGAGAAAGATGATGGTAGGAAATGTGGAAACAACTGTTAGGAGATGCTAATTAATGTAAAGCAACAGAGAGGAAAAAATGTTACAGCAGGTATGAAGTGGTGCACTCACTAGGGAGGGATGGCTTCCAGTTAAGTGGCTTCAAATTAAGCTGTGGCTTGGAAGGGCCTGTGGAAGTTAAGGTAGGTGCTGGGTAAATACTACCTACATTATATACACTGACCAGACTGCACATTTCATAAAGGTTTCTGACTCCAGTGTGAATAGTACAATAGTAGATGCAGTGAAGATCTCCTCCTGGGAGGAGAGCAAATAGATGAATGCGGGGAAGATCAGGATCCACTCTGTGGCTTGTAACACCTGCAGGGACTCTTGTCACTGAGCTGTATTTAAACACCTGTAAAACTTGAGGAAATTCCCAGACAAAAACATAATCACCCTGTTGTGAAGGTTGAAGTCAGGTTTGCCAGACCTTTTCTGGTTGGCATTTTTACCTCTGATATGGAAGTTCCAAGTGCAAATTTCATTTTGTCTTTTTTAATCAGCAAGTCTGCAAATGAAAAGCTAAGTTCAGAGAAACCTTAACTCTGCCCCTCAGCAGGCACACATCTAAGAAGAGAGGTGGAAATGTCTAGCTTGGATGCAGCTTCTATCTCTCTATCACATTATCAACCGCAAAATCTTTTACTGTCTTTAACTGTATAACAACGCAAGCTTCTCCTAACAGCCTAGTGTTGTGATGGGGCAGTGGTTTTTAACAGCAGCATCTGTAGCAGATAAATGCCAACTCCCATCTTTCTGTTCAAAGAGTCTGTGTGCCACCAAATATGTTCCTCATTATGGAAATGGGGACAGATGGGTCCAGACTCCTGGACAAGGTGTTATGCATCACGAGTGAGGTAGAAATGATGGAATTCCATGACACCAGTGAAATACTGCATTTGATTTCCAAAGTACTGTTGTGGGACCCGCTAGGAAAACAGCACTGTCCTCGTTTTTCAGCATTGTCCTTCCAACTGCTGAAAAAAACAACAGTGTGAAAGAGTTAAGTGACTTTGGTCATAACTGCTTTTGTAGACTTTGCAAGGCATGGAATTAATTTCTGTTATGAAGTTTGAACCTGGGATTTTCAGACTTTCCAGCTTTTTTTGAATAAAATAAATCATAGATTTTTTTTCTTTTTTTTTGTCTGGGAATTATTATTCCAGTGCCCTTCAGATTCCTGTTGGGAATCTTCTGAAGTGCTCCCCTGTCTCCCTTCTAAGCCTAATAAATTGACCTCTTTAATTCTTCTGAAACCTTTACTTGTCTTGCTGCGAGGTGTAGTGTGGACTCTCTGCCAGTTCCTACATTAAGTTTGCCCCTCTGGGACTGGAGTACTCACAGCTAAGCACAGTGTCCCAGGTAAAACCTCCCCAGAACTGCATAGCAAGAAATTTTCCCTTCTCCATGTAATATGGAAGACCCCTTCCAGTTAGAACTGATCCATATTGGGGCTCGCCCCCGCCGTGACACTGTCTCTTCCCCTCACCCCGGTCCCAGGTGCCGGATGTGTTCGCTGACCTTCTACTCCAAGTCGGAGATGCAGATCCACTCCAAGTCCCACACGGAGACAAAGCCCCACAAGTGTCCTCACTGCTCCAAGAGCTTCGCCAACAGCTCCTACCTGGCCCAGCACATTCGCATCCACTCGGGGGCCAAGCCCTACACGTGCAGCTACTGCCAGAAGGCCTTCCGCCAGCTCTCCCACCTGCAGCAGCACACACGGTAAGGGCCGGAGGAGGCCGGGCCCTCCGCGCTGCATGTTGCCGTCACCCCAGCGTGCTGGGAGTGCCCTGCGCAGGCAGCTGCCTGGGGAGCCCTTGCTCTGTTTCACAGGCTGCTCGCTTCTCATACACAACAAATGGGCAGTAATGGTGTCTTACACGTGACTTTCTGCTTGCTGCAAGGGGCTGGGTGTGCACAGAGGTTAGCACTGCTGTACTCTAGGGGGGTGTCTGTAATGACGTGGTGTTTCTGATGGAAAGTAGGACTTGTTTTGTCAGGGTAAGAGTGGATATAGGAGGGCTGGTCCCTCTCACCCCAGCATAGTTCTGCCAAGCGTCTCAGTCCAGGCCTGCAGCCCTCTGCGGTTCCAGCCATAGGCTTCCCACACACGGATCTGCCAATGCCCCTCAGTCCAAGCTCTATTGTTCCTCTCTCTGGATCCTCCCCCGGTGCAGACAGACCATGGCCTCTTGAATCCGAGGCGAGCACGCTTTGAGACTGAATGCGCTCGCTCACCTTTGAGAGTTGCTCCACGTAGCCAGATAGCGTGGTGCTGTCCCACCCCCTTGTGCCCTCATTCCATCAGCACTAGCCAGATGGCGGTTGTGTCCAACTGCTGCTGCTCCTCCTCCTCTTCGGCAGGATCC